TTGCAAAAATCGCAAAATTTCATGAAATTGCAAAAATTGCAAAAATTCCTGAAAATTGCAAAAATTGCAGACATTCCTGAAAATTGCAGAAATCGCAAAAATTCATGAAAATTGTAAAAATTGCAAAAATTTTTGAAAATTGCAAAAATCGCAAAAATTCATGAAAATTGCAAAAATCGCAAAAAATCATGAAAATTGTAAAATTGCAAAAATTCCTGAAAATTGCAAAAATCGCAAAAATTCATGAAAATTGCAAAAATTGCAAAAATTCCTGAAAATTGCAAAAATTGCAAAAATTCCTGAAAATTGCAAAAATCGCAAAAATTCATGAAAATTGTAAAAATTGCAAAAATTTTTGAAAATTGCAAAAATCGCAAAAATTCATGAAAATTGTAAAAATTGCAAAAATTCCTGAAAATTGAAAAAATTGCTAAAATTCCTGAAAATTGAAAAAATTCCTGAAAATTGCAAAAATCGCAAAAATTCCTGAAAATTGCAAAAATTGCAAAAATTCCTGAAAATTGCAAAAATTGCAAAAATTCCTGAAAATTGCAAAAATCGCAAAAATTCATGAAAATTGTAAAAATTGCAAAAATTCCTGAAAATTGCAAAAATCGCAAAAATTCATGAAAATTGTAAAAATTGCAAAAATTCCTGAAAATTGCAAAATTGCAAAAATTCCTGAAAATTGCAAAAATCGCAAAAATCCTGAAAATTGCAAAAATCGCAAAAATTCCTGAAAATTGATTGCAGAATTTCCTGAAAATTGCAAAAATCGCAAAAATTCCTGAAAATTGCAAAAATCGCAAAAATTCCTGAAAAGTGCAAAAATTGCAAAAATTCCTAAAAATTGCAAAAATCGCAAAAAATCATGAAAATTGTAAAAATTCCTGAAAATTGCAAAAATCGCAAAAATTCCTGAAAATTGCAAAAATTGCAAAAATCCTGGAAATTGCAAAAATTGCAAAAATTCCTGAAAATTGCAAAAATTTCTGAAAATTGCAAAATTCCTGAAAATTGCAAAAATTGCAGAAATTCATGAATATTGAAAAAATTGCAAAAATTCCTGAAAATTGAAAAAATTCCTGAAAATTGCAAAAATCGCAAAATTCCTGGAAATTGCAAAAATTGCAAAAATTCCTGAAAATTGCAAAAATCGCAAAAATTCCTGAAAATTGCAAAAATTCCTGAAATTGCAAAAATTGCAAAAATTCCTGAAAATTGCAAAAATCGCAAAAATTCATGGAAATTGTAAAAATTGCAAAAAATCCTGAAAATTGCGAAAATTGCAAAAATTCCTGAAAATTGCAAAAATCGCAAAAATCCTGAAAATTGTAAAAATTGCAAAAATTCCTGAAAATTGAAATAATTCCTGAAAATTGCAAAAATTGCAAAAATTCCTGAAAATTGCAAAAATCGCAAAAATTCCTGAAAATTGCAAAAATTGCAAAATTTCCTGAAAATTGCAAAAATTACAAAAATTCCTGAAAATTGCGAAAATTGCAAAAATTCCTGAAAAATTGCAAAAATTGCAAAAATTCCTGAAAATTGTAAAAATTGCAAAAATTCCTGAAAATTGCAAAAATCGCAAAAATTCCTGAAAATTGTAAAAATTCCTGAAAATTGCAAAAATCGCAAAAATTCCTGGAAATTGCAAAAATTGCAAAAATTCCTGAAAATTGCAAAAATTCCTGAAAATTGCAAAAATTGCAAAAATTCATGAAAATTGAAAAAATTCCTGAAAATTGAAAAAATTTCTGAAAATTGCAAAAATCGCAAAAATTGCAAAAATCGCAAAAATTCCTGAAGATTGCAAAAATTCCTGAAAATTGCAAAAATTGCAAAAATTCCTGAAAATTGCAAAAATCGCAAAAATTCCTGAAAATTGCAAAAATCGCAAAAATGCCTGAAAATTGCAGAAATAGCAAAAATTTCAAAAATTCCTGAAAATTGCAAAAATTCCTGAAAATTGCAAAAATTGCAAAAATTCCTGAAAATTGCAAAAATTCCTGAAAATTGCAAAAATCGCGAAAATGCCTGAAAATTGCAGAAATAGCAAAAATTCCTGAGAATTGCAAAAATTCCTGAAATTTGCAAAAATTCCTGAAAATATAAAAAATCGCAAAATTTCCTGAAAATTACAAAAATTCCTAAAATTGCAAAAATCGCAAAAATTCATGAAAATAGTAAAAATTGCAAAAATCGCAAAAATTCCTGAAAATTTCACGTCGATAATTTTCAGATTTCAAAATAATGTAATATCTTCTCAATATTGATTTGTACTTTCTTCTGTCACAGAAGAAAATACTGTATTATAAACGGGAAAAATATTAAATTCTAGCTCACGGTTTTTTTTCTTCCTCCCGCTACGCGTCGGTTGACAACACAACCTAGAGCTAAAATCTACTACTTTTCCCCCTTGTATAATAAATAACTATTTCTCTCACCTTTCGCACCCGTTCGATTTCGGCGAATTGTTGTAAAACCCCTCGTCGACCAACTGTTGCATCCGCACGTTCTTCTTCTTAGGCGGCAACGGAGGCGGCGTTATGCAATTGTCCGGCTGAGAGAGACGCAGGCGTTCCGGCAGCGGGGGTTTCGGGGGTGGACTAGAATCTCTAAAAAAAAAAATTGCCAAACTTAACAGTTGAAAAAAGATATTTTTCTGCAACCAACACAAAAGTCGTCCATTTTAATACCAACTATCACCAACTTTTAGATATACATCGGTGAACCAAACACCCTGTATGTAGGTCACGCAAAAAATATTGTCGAGGACACACCTGAGGATGGATTCCGTGCTGTGACTGTTCCGCACTTTGACAGGAGTGACGTAGGAGGTGTGCTCCAATATTTCCCTCTCTTTGGGGGTGAGAGGGATGTCAGGCAGCGAGTTCCGTTGAGCGGGCATCTCCAGACTGCTGCAATACGACGATCTCGGCGCCGTTTTGTAGGTTAGGTGTTGTTGGGTCAGTTTTTCTTGGGCCAAGTTGATGAGATTCTGCCGAAAAAAACACCGACTTTGTTCACTGTTTGGAATTTCGAATTGTTTCATTCGTGAAGTTGAGAAGAGTACAGTAGAGTAGTTCAATCAATCAATAAAAATATACTTTATTACCCGAAGAAAAAAATAGTCATAGTTTTCCACAAAATTCAAATTGAATACATGAAATATCACAGTGTACAAAGCAAGAAATGGGTCGATGGTTCAAATCCGGCTCGAAGGACCAAAATGTTCAAGCCTTCTGCTTTATATAGATCGAAGGAAAATACAAATTGAAATTTTTTTTCCTCGATGGTGGAGTTGACGGTTGCAACCCCATTTGGAATGTATTCCACGGCAACTGTAGACCACTTTTCTTCTCGAAATTAATATGAAAATGATACCCGTGCTAATTCTTCAACAAATTCATTTACTGCTATACAGAAGCACACCATAATAAATGAATTAATGGTTAAACCATGTTAATTATACAAGTACATTTATGGCATATACTGGATGAATTATATTTAAGGGTGCAGCTCCAATTGACTTCATTTTCGAATTTTTTTTTCTCCACACGTCGGAAGAAGGTGAACGTCTCGTTTGACCCAATTTTCGATTCGCCCAATTTTCGATTTACCTACCGTCTCCGAACATACCCGAAAGATGCGTTGTTGCCAAATAATGCCACATTTCCTCGGAGTCCATGAAACGGGAATCATCAACAATCATTTCGCATTCAAATATGTCGTGAATTAGGTGAATAAAAAAAAAGTAAAAGTAGATAGATATATAGATAGATAGATATATAGATAGATAGAT